GTGGAGAGCCCCAAATAAAAGCTTACAGCGGCTTGCGGCGCAACATGCGGAACGATTTTGCTTACGGTAGCTTACGAAACCCACACGTTTTCTTACGGCAAGGTCCTTATTGCCACTCGCTAAGGGGTTTCCCACTAGAGGGTTTTGATCTCTGCGCATTTGGTGCTTGCTTCGTTGACCCCACGAACCAACGTCTCATCTTATCGCCACACAAAGGCTCAAAATCTCGGTGCACAAAGTGCCAACTTGCCGAGGTCCTGGCAAAGTGAAGGATCTTCCTCGGGCCGCTGCGCAGGAGCTGGAGGTAGGTCTCAGTGCCCAAGATCATGCTCAAGGGGTTGACGTTGACATCTCTTGTATCCCTGTCGTGGTTTGTGCAGGGCTGCTCTGGGGACCGGAGAACGGACGTTTCATCTCTCAAATGAAGCTAACCTTTTTGGTTGGCATGGATGCTGCTTCTGAACCTGACATCTTCCTGTCTAGAAACCAGCACCAGCATAGTGAGAATGTAACTGACTGAGCCTCCGACTCGGCCACGGTCATCCCGGCGGTTGTGGCGCATGAGAGTCTGCGTGGACCATGAGTCAGGGCCCATGGCCATGTCCCCTGGGAACTGGATCTCGTTCACAGCCTGGGCAACATAAGGAACACCAAGAATTCGAGAACAAAATCATGGCACCTTTTGGGTGAGATGAGAAGACTGAAAGAAGAGCAAAACAAGATTGAGGAAAAACAATTAAAGGACCGAATAACCCACATGCGTAGCTTCACCAGAATCAAAACAGATAGTAGACAGATAGCAGAAGAGAGAAGAAAACGAAAAGCAGAAGAGACGACAATCAGCGATGAAAAGAAAGGGTAAGTCGCACGAGGACAGGAAATCGCGGTGTTGTGCCACATCGATTACGAGAATATACAGAAACTTATGTCAAGGAATTGAACAGGAGTTGGGAAAGGAGGGAGGGTGGAGGGGCGGGGGAGGAGGGCGCGATAGACGATACTGCACATATCATACAAGTAAGTATAGCACGTCCCTCCCCAAAAGCCCCCGAGATGGCAAGGCGAGGGTCTGGGGTGCATTACTTTAAAGGGAACGAGAGAAGGCCCCCAACATGGCGAGGGGGAGTCTCGAGAAAGTCCGGGAAACAAATGTAAAGAGGACGAGAGTGGGCCTAGGGCACTACTCTAAAGAAGATGAGGGAGGGCCCCCGAGGTCTGGCGTACTACTGTAAAGGGACAAGAGAGGGCTCCCGGAAAGGGCCCGAGATGGCAAGCAACGGCAGGGTACCTCTTTAAAGGGGACGAGAAAGGGCCCCGGAGATTGCCACGGGTCTGGACAACGGGAGGTTCTGCAGCACTATTTTAAATGGGACGAGAAAGGGGGCCCTCCAGATGGCAAAGGGAGGTTTGAAGAGGACGAGCCGAAAGGGCAAGCGGGGTATGGAGTCTAGAGTCCTCGAGATGGCAACGGGAGGGCCGAGGGTACTACCTTAAACGGGGTGAGAGAAGGCCCTCGAGATGGCAAGTTGACCGGCGCGGAGTGAGGCGGAGGAGGAGCTACGGACGACAGAGTACAAGTAAGAACCACACACAACAATGTGGGGATAAACAGCTCCTTGAAGAGCTGTGGCTTTGATAATGTGTAGAACACGAATCAATGTAAAACAGGTGCCTGATATTCACTTGTGGCCCGTGTCTGGGGATCACAAATAACTGAAGCAGATGGGGCTGCACACACATGTCCCATGTGCGGTAGCTGGGTTCGTCTGCAAAAACAGGGTGGTTGCATTCTCTGGGGCAAAGACCTGCGCAGAAGGGAACTGGTCGCCCAAATTGACGACCTGCAAGGGCTGCAACTTGTATACTCAGAGCTTGCAAGGGGCTATGAAAAGCATGGAATGATGCCTCTAGCCGCTTGACAGTGTCCCCCGGCTGAAGCAGCTCGTTGATGCTGCTGTGCTTGGAGAGGGCCTTCAAAAGCATCAGCAGGCGCTTTGCTTCAGAAATTAACGTTGCAGCTACAATCCCAGCTCTCACAGTGAAAATGAGAAATGCTTTGGTACCACGGAGTGGGGACGGCTCGACCTTTTGTATCAAGCGAATATTTCCTGCAAGCTCCAGGTTCTGTTGACTCGCCGCTGATGGGCTCCATGCCGGCCGGCATTGCCTGGCACTCCAAAAGCGCACAGAGAGCTCGCAGCTCTGCCATTAGATGTTCGCCTTTGGCCCCAAGAACATGCAACTCCAAAAACATCTGTGAAGCAGCATGCAATGCTATGCCCGTTCAAACATTTACATTCTAGCCACCAGCATGCTATCCGCAGAATGTACATGTGCAGCACATGTCCCACTCACTCTCTACTGCAGAAGCGTTCACAACTGTTTTGGCAGGAACATAGCACACGCGCAACATCAGGTCCAGTCAGAGTGCTATGTGACAATGAGCAATCACATGACAGGTGATAGCATGTAAACGCTAAAACAGATTTGAGCCAGCACAAATACCTTCTTGTGACCTCACCCAACTATGGTGGGCCTGTCGCGCCCATGAGCGTACTCCTCATAGCACGATGCCAGAAAGCGTTGAGGAACAGCTGCCAGTCGCCTAGCACCATCCCCGAAAAGCCATCACATAACTTCAGAAAAGCTATATCCAAAGAACCCACAGTCACAGGCCACTACATTGCATGTGGCGCGAGTGCCCCTGGAAATGCCATCACGTCTTGCTGGCAGCTTGCCGACATCATCGCGCATCTTTCGCCCACTGGGAGCATGCAGCGCCCAGTTGTTCTCCACACACTGGTTGCAAACCTGCTGCCGCTGATCTTGAGATCGTCCGAAACACGGCGCTCTTTAGAAGGCTCTTCATCTCGTTCTCACACAATACAAGACGAACGATGACTGCTATCAGGAATAAACTCCAGTCTGTAAACCAAGATGCTCCGTGTTCCAGGGCATATTCCCACAGCTCTCGAGACCAATCCTACAGCTTCAAGCACACAGTGTGCATTGAGCTTTGGCGGTCATGGTTTGTTGCAGGCCAGGCGTCGTGGTCTTGAAGCAGCTCTCGAGTGGTTATTGATGCCTTCGGTCTGCTATCTGGAAGGTCACCCACTCAGACGCCAAGAACACTTTCAAAACCATCTCAGCAAACCAGCATGAGCATCACCATAGTCGAGCAGCTTCGCATGCCAAGGCTGGGTCTCCGAGCTCTTGTATAGTTTTTCGGGCCTGGTGCTTGCACCCACAGGCACTTTTTACGGCTATTACGGCTATGCAGGGCTGAAGATAAGACATGCAGCCTCCCTGTCCTGCCTGTCGCGGCAAACGATGAGGCCCCAGAAGCTCAACAAGACTGCGGTTGTCCTGGCTCACACTCCGAGGCTTATCGAGCCCAAATCTCGCCTGAGGCAAGCGGGAACTCCTTTGCGACCAGCTCGAGCCACATCAGATACTCTTTCCTGGGATGCATGGGTCTTGCGAAATCTCCTTTTGACCGCACAGCGCCAAATGTCTAGAGCATTAGAATTTGCCGGCCAAGCCGCAAAAAAACTGGGTTGTTTGAGTCCAATTCGTAAGCTCGTCGGTAATAGGGACCGGCTCTCTCACTCTCCTGCAAGTCATAGTCCAGGTGATGCCTCAGATGTCCACAAAACAAGCGGTTCAAGCTTATGCGATACCAAAGCCAACCCAGCTCTCCAAGCTTAGCCAGTCACCCGCGGATGTACTGAAACGCGGCATCCTCCGACCCATGCCTCGTTTAACGCGCGAACATTACTTGCGAGCAAGCAAATTCTGTCAGCTTTTGGTCGTTGTCCGTTTACATGGCTTGCATGGCTCCAAAATGTCCAAGCAACTGCTCTGCCCACTGGAAGAGAGTCCGGCTCACCTCGACTACGCCGCAAGGACCCAAGGCCCCAAAAGAGGGACTATAAGTGTCGTGTCTCATGGAAGCAGAACGGCAGTGTTCGCACGTATCATTGCTACTAGTCAAAGTCACCATTTTGGCTGGCACGGATTTGCAAACACGGTTTACAGCAAGTTCTGGATCATACACACACACATATAAAGATTGCACCGATGGGCGTCCCGTTTCGAAGATCTTATCTATGGAGACCTGCTTGCAAACTTAGAGCAAAGTCCTGCAACCTGAACCTGCCATGGTGTGTCAATGACCTGTCCACACATGAAACTCACCATGTACTGACACGCAAACTGAAGCATGAATTGTCCGCACTTTGCAAACGCACTGCAACCTGACCATTGTCATTCAAATGACCCGCATTCACTCCAAAGGAAAAGGCTTCAGAAAACTTCTCTCTGTACACGCAGGTACGTCGCAGGGACGTCTCCCCTTGATATCACAAGCAAACTGGAGCGTCTTTGTTGGTGCAAGACTCCAGAATGCTCCTTGCACCCCTGCATTTTTGATAAAATTGACATGTCTGTCCATGCACATGCCAGATTTCATCTGGTCCTGATGTTCAAAACTGCAAATTTGACATGTTCCAAAAACCCTCAGCTTAGAATCAGGGTGCACAGACACACACATGTGAGGGGAAGATTGTATCGCTAGTCGTATAGCTAGAGAAGCACTAACCTGCATATGCATAGATCATGTACTGGGGCACTCAAGCCATGCATCCCACCTTGCCCTGCCCCATCTTTCGGAAAGACAGCGCCAAATCTGCAGCTCGCGCGGCACAGTGCGCCGGCTCCTCAGAACAAATGCGAAAGGGGCCTGGTACGCTCCGTGGCATTTACCCCCGGCCTCAGCAAGACAGCGCCGCAGCATGGGCTCCCAAGTTTGAATGTCTTCGACACTGCCAGCTTTGGCGCTCTTTGGCACTTCCTGGCTTACCAGGATCTGGAGGAAGAATCACTGAACCTCTTGATGAGTCTTCACGCAAACTCTGCTTTGAGAGGGCTCCTCACGCCGGCGCAGTCGCAACAGGGCAAACTCCGCGTTTGCCCAGAGGAGCCTCAAGCATCGTTTCGAGGTCTTGTGCGCAGGGACGTCACGAAGTGTCACACTTTCTGGGCAGGATACTCAAACAGCGGCGAAGCCAGAGCCCGGGGGCAGAAAAGATCGTGCCATGGACGCTCCCCTTCCTGGACACCAAAATGCAGTCTCCATCATGCATCGCCATGCATTCAGCAGAGAGTGAGCGGGAGCTCCTTGCAGTTCACCTCTGGGTATCTGTCCAACAGGAAAGGCCCAAAACCTGCAAGGTAAAGGGAGCTTGGTGCTCCACCATTGTACCGCGAATCACATCTGAGCTGCTGACTGCACCGCTTGAATTCAAGTATGACGTATTGGGAGCCGTACTTCTGCATTGTTTTAGCAAAGCTTGCCTTTGCGACACAAACTCTGATGAGATTGATGGGCTCCAACAGTACCAGGAAGTGCCAGGCAAGTCCACAACAAAGCTGCCGGGTTGCTGGGGGGGTGCACTGGTACCACTGATACAGCTCCTCCACTACATGTGACAAGCACATTGACTGTTTGCCCTCTCATGCATTCTCCCACAAAGCAAATGGCATGGCGACAAGTAGCTGATGATGTCCTGAACGCGGTCACGGAGATGCTGTGCCTGAAGACAGCTACACTAAGATGAGGTAAGTGGAGCTTTGGATGACGAGTTGCCTCGAACTGGGGATGGATGGCTACGCGTAGCGGCGTGGTCAACCGCAGCTCAGCACTGAGAGGCATTGCCGCCAAGATGATCTCGTCCTTCGGCACGTGCTGCCTTGCACATCTGAGTCTGAGGACAAGCTTGCCCAGTTCCGGAAGCAGATCAGAACGAAAGCTCCAAGGAAATCCACCTAGAAGGCTTGCCTAATCTCTTGTCAAGCGTCACCAACCAGTTGAAGAACTCGCCACGATCCCCGTCCGGCCAAGACTTGTCAGCGTGGATGCCTTCTGAACACGTTTCAACGCTGGCTTTCTGAAACGCGAACTTTAGGTGCCTTCGGCCCATTAGTAAGAAAGACCGAGTGATTCATCTCAATATCTTCCCTATCACGTGAGGATGAGATCTCACGCCTGTTCCAAGAGCGTTTAGTTCCGCGTGGACCTATCTTCTGCTCCCAGTGATCGGAGTCATAACTATCGAATACTTCCCTGCGCCCAGCTCATTAGCTGTTTAATCGCTCGCATCACTCGAGCACCTCTCAGCCACTTACTCCAAGTACCCTCGACTTTTGAGTTGAAACCTGGACAATCAAGCAAGCATCCAGCTTTCTGGACCTTCCCTGGACTGTCAATTTGACCGATCTTCAGGACCGCAACCCCTAAATCATACCAAGCCGATGACCGAAACAGCGCCATTCGAGTCTACACAATTTCCGCAATCTTGCTACAGGGTCAAGTGGCTCGTATGCCTGTTCTCGATGAATGGCAGCTTGTAAGCCAGAAATACCAGCTGTCCCAATTGAAGAGCAGCAGCAGTGGCGAAGATTCCGATCCTAGCTGCTTTCATGATCGTGAACCATTGCCTTTTGCACTGGAACCGGCATCTCTGCACCAAGCGTCCGCAGCGCTCGAATGGGCCATGAAGCCGGCATGGGGCAGACTGCAATCAAAGGCCGCGGGGCCAAGCCAGCAGTAGCCCAAACAAGCAGGAAGGGCACGCCAATGCCTTTCGGTTTATTTGCACAAAGCTGTCCAATACAACCTCTGGGGCTGTCTGTGTGAAGTTCGTGCCATGCCATGCAACCTTCAGGATCTCTTCAGACAAGCTACATTTCAATCGACTTATGAAGCAGCCGAGCACGAGAAACAGAGCTGTCTGGACCAGCAGCACGCTGGAGCTGAAGGCGTGTGAATATCCTGAATGCCGCATTCAAAAAAATCCGGATGAGATTAGTCGGCCGTGGCCTTCCCCCACAGTCTGCTTTGTATGCCCTGCATGGGGCAGTATGTTGACCAGGAAGGCACCTGTCAGGACACCGCGCAGCAGAAACACAAAGGAAAAGCAGCACCCTGTCGAGTGCGAAGCCGACAACGTCACTCTTTCCGCCTGCTTGAAGCAGAGCAGCTGCCGCCGCGAAGTGATACACCTTCGTCTGGAAGCCCACCTCAATGTTCTTCCAACCTCGCAAGGAAACAACCAGGAATCACCCCAGCCAAAACTAAGTATTCTACAATGCCAGCGTCGAAGTCACACGGCTTGTGGCTCAGGTCAGGTCTGATGAAGTCGAACACGCTGACAGCATTGTATAGCCTCACACCCCGAGAGGAGAAGATGCGAGGGCTTTTGCCAAAGGGATTTGCCCCGATTTCTCCAACGCCTTCTGAATGGAATGAATGGTATCCGGCATATTCTTGTTTATTTCGTATTTTTCCTGCTGCTTCTTGAACAATACCCCTGGCTTGTGTCCTGCTTCTGTCTCCCTTTTGACGTTCGCGGATTTCTGCCCTTTACTGTCTGCCTTTTGCTTTCTGTTTTGGCTTCACGTTTTTGCTTTCCGTCTTCTTTGTCAAACAAGCCATGACAAACTAAATGCAAATCAACGCAATTCGTACCGATGACTCCATCTCGCACCAGCCGCGCGTGGCGCACATGGCTGTAATCTTACCAGGACTATACCTACGGCTGCCCTTCTTAGCATAATTATCAAGATCTTTAATTCCTTTTAAGGGTACTTACTCCTCTTAGTACTGCAAGTCCTGGTGCACGGGCAACAACCATCGTTGTTCTTTAAGTGATGTTTCCTCTGAGCTTCCTCTGTTGTATTGCTCGGAGTCAGGATTTGGCAACTTTTTGCTGTTTCAGTTTAATTGCCATCACTGCAAAAACTTCTGATCGCTAGCACCGTTCTTGCTATTGTCGCTTCTCACTTTGTATTGATGCTTCGTTTTGCAATCCAGGTGCGTGTAGATCGCCAGGTTACGCGAACCCACAGATCTAAGCAAACCTTCCCAAACTTGAAATCTTGCGGAACCACCGACACCCTGCAATATCCTGCAAAGTATTCGCAAGAAGCGAAAATCGCCCAACCTCCCAAGTCCTGCAAAACCCTACAAGATCCTACGAATCCATGTGGAGAGTGGAAAAAACATGAGCACAGAATTGCAAAACCAAGTCCCCAAACAATTTCGCAACTATTTTGTCCCTCTTGCTCCACCATTTTCAGCCATGCAAAGGACAAGATACAGGGTCATGGGTGGTTCATGGTCAAAGGCCTTGTGTTGAAGGTGGGCTCGTGGTGTTCCTTCCCAAGATAGGATGGGAATAGAGTCCGCATCTTGTTCCTCAGCATTAGCACTCGCACTGCAGCCAATAGCCATCAACGCTCGCGATGGGCTAGGCTGCCACGCGCGAACAAACAGCAAAGAGATCTCACCGCTTAATTCCAAATCCCATGCTCGCAGGCAACATCCAACGCAAAGAGCGTTGTACAACCACGGTGCTGGGGCGCTGACGCATACAACTCCCAAACATGCTCGTCTGCAGTGGCAAAGGGCATCTGGATGATGCGTAGCAACACAAACATCAAGACCTTTGCTTCGGCACTGCACTGACCATGTTTGGTGCCCAGCAGCTGCACAAGTTCTGCGGAGGCTGGTCCCGGACCAAGCCGCAGCAAGTGCTCCATCCAGCCAGAAGAGCAGCCTCCACCTCGGCGCGGAACGCAACCAAAGGACAGTCCTCGGTTCACAAGTGGCTCAGAGGACCATACTGACAGATTGAAAGACAGAAGATGAGCCCGAGGGTCTTGATCGCAATGCACTGCGTGACCAACAAATGGTGCACCAGGAGCTCATTTCCAAAGAGCAAGACTGCTGCAATGGTCAGTGCCACCAAGTGCGAGTTGACAACTTCATTCATTGCAAGTCTCGCACCTGCAGAACTCCAGGTGCCCACGAGGTTTGCTGTTTTCATGTGATTTTTTCGCAGCACGCCTGGGTGGCAAGCCAATAGCGTGCACAAAAAAGCTGCTGACACTTGCAGCAGAAAAGCGAAGGCAGAGAATTGCCACACCTGCAGCGGACTGAGCCAGACCAGCAGTGACAGCAAGCTCCAAAACTGCAACTTCTTGCAAATCATGCCCAATTGAAGTGGTGACAAGATGCGAGGATGCACACAACCTAAGCTCAAGCGAGTAGAACTCTGGCATGCGTCTGTCTAGACAAGGATTCTTTGACTCTAAGCTTCTTCTGCCAGCAAATGCTCATGCAGATCAGAAAAGGTAGTCACAAGGCAGGCCAGAACTAAGTACAAATAAGCCACTGTCAGCGATCTAAATGCCCACCGCCAGCCGAGAAACTCCTCAGCTGAACATTGTTCCGTGTTTCACTCCCTACCAACTGAATTGAGTGCATGTCCAACGCTCACCATAGCCATGGTTCCCAGGTAGTTTGACTGCACAACGATGGGTGCGTCATTAGCAGTTTCGTCAAGGTCCAGACCTTCCAAGAGCAAACTTGCAAGAATCCCACAACTCCAAGCACGACAAATTTGCCAGATTGACTCCTAGCCGCATACTCTGTGCCTGGTACAAGATGACTGGCATGGCCCAGTTCCTAAAAGGCATGGCCAACGGTGAGCTGGATTCTAGCAAACATACATTCTACTCACCAGAGATGTTGGACACGAGGCGTTGAGCTTACCAGAATGCTTCGGCCAAGGAGCTCACGCAGCTCCAACATACCTACATCGTGGATGCGGCTGAAGTCATGCCGATGTAGGAAGGTCAAAATGAAGAGCGAAATTCCTGGCATCCATGATTAAAAGTATGCAAAACCAGCCCTCACACCTCACGTCATGTATCCGCAATGCTCCTGGTACCAGGCCACCAAAAATGCCGTCTCCTCCCACAGCAGCCGCCAGGCGAAGTAGTCCTACATGGCCCAGGCCTTGCAACGCCTCAAGGGCATGCTTAGGCAAGTCTTAGGCATATACTTGCACCTGTGCACACTCGATGCACCAGGGTGCATAGCTGCAACTGCGGAAAAAATACCACGGATCAACCAAGTTTTGGCCTCGTGGCGGACAGAAGGTGTTGCTTCGTCTTGCTCTCGTCTGACAGCATCCAAACCACTGAGGCATCGACGGCCGCAGAGCCAGGCAGCAAATCGGTAAAAAGCACCGCAAATGACCTCTTGATAGACGTTGAAGCCTTGGCTTTCCACCTGTACTTGGATATGGGCACTTGTTTTTGATGAGACTATGCTGTAGGTACTACTCGAAATCTGCGAAGGGCTCGTGTACGGCGCCGGTTTAGTCTCAGTGGCGCTTCAGCGCGTTGATGGTGTCTGGGGCCTCGCTTCGACGATCGTAGAGTGCACTGTTGAAGGCACGGCCAAGATCGGGCGCCGACACGAACTCTTCCTCACACTTGGACCGCTTAATCTTCAAAGGTCCCTCCCCCACTGTTTTCGTAAGCCCCTGCTCCCCCCCACGTCAAGCAACCAAGCGGCATAATACGAGTAGTAGAATGCGTTCCTGGATAGCAGTACAGACTGTCGGGGCATTGCAAAGGCAATACATCAGAGCCCTGGTTTAGTGTGACCTTCCTGGTTCTCTCCAACAAGCAGTGCAACGGGGGAATATGAAATGTGACAAGCCTATTCTGATACACCAAGACATTCTCCAAGACTCTCTGTCTTGAGAAACGCCTCCTTCTGCTCAGCGACTGAAAGGCCATTGGTGACGCATCCATAACCTGCGCAGCATCACGCAAATCAGGAGTGTTGCTGTGAAGAAGTTTATGAGGCAAGCCTGAGACCTCTGCATAATGCAGACAGCCCACCAATAACGCAACCACCTCAGATTTAGGCCACTCAGCCAAGACTGTGGAGAAAGTGCTACCGGCAGCGAAGGGTAAGGATCTAAGCCAAGTGTCCCAAGCGGCCAGGAGCTCAGCAGCATGGAAATCCATGACCTCCGCCGGCCCGTAGGCAATTTTGTTACAGTCTTGGAGAATTTGGGCAACCACCTGAAACAAGTCACTGGATTAACCCAATAAGCGCATTAGTCAGGTAGCAACACGGAGGCGAAGGCCAACGGCGCGCTCGCTGCAGCCGTTTGCAAAGCATCTGCTTGACTGACCGCATCTCAATCTGTTAGTTGGCCTGAAAATTTCCAATCATGCCGTATGGTGACTTTGCTTGCTATCCTCTCCGCTATTGGTAGCAGCCGCGTCCCCTGCTGCCATCTGTCGATGCATTGAGCCCGGTAAAGCCCCATCACGTTGTGCCTGTTGGGCACATTGTTGTGTGTTACATATCCTCTTGCCAGGCTAGAGCTTTGAGCCGGCGCTCCAGTGGCTGATCACATGAAGCCCAAAACAGTTGCACTGAATACTGGTCTAATGGCATGTAAAGGCCTGCAGCACATCAAGAGTCCCGGCTGATTTGGGGGGAGCAGATGGCGAATCTGGACCTCGCTGCAACCCCACGACTCACCACACAAAGCTAATTCGCACGCTGCGACTTGTGCCACAACATCTCTCGTCCCTGTGGCCGTTGCGGAAGTCTGGCTGCTTGGTGGATTCGCGCATGCGGAAGAACCATCGACCGTTTGGGTTCACGCCTGATCTTGATCTCACAATTGTTGTGCGGGGGCGGAGGCTTGGGGGCAATCACAGCTTTTCAGGGTTTAGCACATATGTGGGCAGAGCAGGCAACCCGAAACAGACATTGTTTTGCGTCTCTTTCCTGTACTCACTCCATCCAGACATCTACTCATGCCGCAACACCCAGGCCATCCGCAGATCATTTCCTAATCGTTTGCATTACAAATGATGCCCAGACAAGATCACACGTTGCCTCAAAAGGGGGTTTCGCAGTGGCTAGCATGCTATTCGACAATCATTTTCTGCCGTTTCGCGTGATTTCTCCTACTTTCCTACTCTTGCTTGACATTTCCTTCTTCTTCTGAAGCGTCCCAGCACTAGACAACATTCACCACATCCGTGTGCACAAATTCCTTTCTCTACATTCGCTGACAACGTGGTGGACTGCTCAACTGCCCCCACTTCTGGACTTCTCCATGAGGTACGTCTTGCGCATGCGAAACATGTCACCCCACAGTTGTCACTATAAAGAAAGGCGCAGTAGGGTTTGCACAAACACCTTGATTGGTCTTGGTCAGCGACGCTTTCCCTTCTGATTGGTGATTGCGTGGATGGGCAAGTAGCAGTAACCTCGGATTCAGCTGGGAAGCAAACGAAAGACTTGACCAAGCCTAGAATGGCAAGGGGCGCTCGTAGATCTTTCCCACCTTGTTGGCACAGAAATTGCTGATCCGGCATAAGGCCTCCCACCCTGTCCACGTCGTACGTCGTACTCTACATCCCACTCTGCTTGCAGCAGAGTACCGTGATGCCACTGTAGCCGGCCATCGCGCCATGCACGGCCATCTGCCCAAGCACCGAGCAGTAAGTGCTGTCGAAGGAATTGGCTGGAACTGAGCGGATCCTCAGCTATCTCGCATGTAGACCTTCAGGTCTGCGTCTTGCAAACGAGCGCGCACCAACAACAAATCCTGCCAACACCTTTGCAGCAAGTTTCATGTAGGTAGGATCAATGTACTTGATCGTGAGCGGCAGGTTCATAGATTTAAATCGCGCAGTGATGGTGTCTTTTAGCCATGGGCCCACGTCTGCAAGGATCTTGTTGCCACCTTTCGCACAGTTGACGCTCATCAAGTACCCAGGAACAGGTCGCTTTGCACAAGATATCTCGCTTCAAGGAATTGTTGCACAGAAACTCAGTGTCTACCGGCTCAATTTGCTACAGGCACCAAGGACCTGCGTCAGTGGCTCCAGAGCTCTGGATCAAGGTGTCGCCGCAGCCCTCTGCCACCACAATCACAGCATGGCCCTTCGTGCGCATCAAATGCTCTGTGTGCTGCAAGACCTGCTCAAACCGCCAGAATGCAGGAAAAGGCTGCAGGGTCAAGACAACGCGTGGCATCATACTTTCCGAGTTTGTCTAGTGTCTAAATATGACAAGTGCTGTTGCAATATCTGACGTCAATCGGCCTTCTCCAAATCAATGTCCATTTCTGGAATGAGACCTGACATTTCGGAGTTAATCCTCTAAAGTGGTTCGCGACTACATCAATGAACAGTCAGTAGACAGCTAGAACTGAAAGCCATGGTACAAATATCCACGTTTCGTGCTGCAAGGGCTGCATTCATTGCGATAAAACCGCAGTGACGCCCCATGAGCTTCACCAAGCCAATGCAGTTAGCCTTGTTGCGCGGCCGTTCTGAAACACATCCTTTGCACTAAAACCTTCATCCTCTACCTCTACCTCCAATGCCTTTTGTACTTTCTTGGACCGTTTAATGCATCTGGGAGTCGTTGCCCCTTGCCTCAACGTACCTCAGACATATCAACTTTTGAGCGTTGCAAGTTCATGCACAGTCGAACACATTGCGTCACAAGTCTGCTGCCCGGTGGCGCAGAATTCACAGCCTTTGCTGCCTCTGTACAGGCTGTGTCGAAACCAAATGTCTGATCAATCATCGGGACATCCTGGGGCAGGGTAGCAAGGCTTCGCTTGATAGATGCAGCTCTGGGGCAGCATAAGAACACAAAAGCCACGAGTGCAGAATTTGCAGCCCACATCGATTGTTCCCTGCTTACTTAATTTGAAAAAAATCTTCGGAAAAACGCATCTTCTCTTGCACGGCGGCCGCAAGTGGTCAGCAATCCAAGTTTCGTTGTCGATAGTCTTCGGTACGCCAACGACTGCGCACTCATGATCAATCTCCTGAGTCTCTGGCAGAAATCAGGATGGGTTTCGTAGGAAGCTCCAACCTCTCCTCAATAAGAAGTGCCGCCAACTATCGGGTCCATAAACCATTACCATTGTTAACTTTTCCGTTCTTGTCAACATTTTGCTGTATAATGGGCTGGCTAGTGAACCTGCGGGCGCACGTGCATTCAATGTTTGTCTTGCTACCACTACAGTACAATGACGCCCCTCATCATAAAGCCTTCTCGCTCTTGTTCTTCCTACTCGCTTTACAGGGTACAAGACAGGCAGCAACCTGTGGGCCTCTTCTGCCCTAACCATGCATCCTAAGCCAGCCAACCCACATACCTTTGTCACCCCTAAAAATGTGATTAGCACAAAATCAACTTGATGAAGGCGCCATCATGCCATTGAACGTCTGCATGGCCCCCTTGTGTGTTCCATCCCCACCTGCAATCGATCAGGATTGTTTGCTCGCTGTTGGGTGATGGTAAACAGGCTGGCCCACCCAGAACAAAGTACTGGCGAATGTTTTTGCTCTGAAGTGCCCTGGCCATGTCCTCAGTCGGCTAGAATCCGCGAAGGCAGGGAAAGTGGCCCAAAAGGAGAGCTACAAATGCAAAAACAGGGCTTCAGAAGGACTTCTCGGCCAAGGCTCCATGTGAGGTGGGTTGCCTCTGTCGCTGATAAGCATTGTGCCGCCTTCGGTGTGAATATCCTCACAGTGTGTCCCAGCTATGAAAGTTCCGAACACTTTTGCAGATTTGCAGTGCGCAGTCCAGTCCTTGACTACCTCGGGGTTGAGGTTCAACCTGAGCCGACGAACCCAAGCAATATTTGACTCCATGCGTCAAACAGCTGGCAAGAATCTCCAGGGATGGCAAGCAGCCACTTGTCCGGCTCCAAAATTCCTTTGTAACCCCCCTTGATGCCGTAGATGCGGCGAACGCCGTAGGCCCACAAAGTATTCACAATCTCACGGATGACACCTTAGTAAGGTCTCGCAGGACTAGCTGTCAGCTTGAAAGTGCTTTCAACATTCAATCTTAAGCCGCCACCAGTAGCTTGAAAGCATCATACGACACCAGATCCAAGGCGCAGTTCAAACCAGGGCAGATCCCACCGCAGCTGATGATGGCAGCGGCTGAAGCGGGGTCATGCGGGTCGAAGTGCAAAAATTCTCGAGGTCCTGCACGCGTCCTCAGGTGACTCCAGGATTGCTCCAGCGTGCCTGGGAAGCACAAAGCCGCACTGAGCCCTGGGCATTTTGAAATAAGGTACTCCCCTGCCAGAGTCCAAACCTTGTCAACAGACATATCATGCATTTTGCATGCAATCGCTGGGAGCTCCCAAAGTACATGGAAACATGAATCGAGCATGCGGCGGTTTCCCAGGAACAATGCTTGAGATGTCCACGAGAAGTTGTCGCTAAACCTTGGCGAATCTGGCTGGCATGTACCCTTCTAGATTCTGAACTGCACTGCTATGCAAACAGAGCTTATCACTTGTGCGCACGTCTTAAGAGGCAGGCGCACGGATGAAAGCAAGAGCCTAGCAAGTTACAAGACCGTCTGCCTCAGATCCAGACAGCCTGACCCCCTTCAAGGTGGATGGGATGTCAAACGTTCCATAACGCTCACCTCTGCATGCACGGAAGCAAACAGGTTGGGGGGTGCGATGTGCAAAGTGTAAGGCAAGCGCCAGAAAAACCACAGCAAAACCACAGCAAAACCGTAGGTTCCGCAGCACATTTTAACCCAAATCCCTCTGGACGAGTTGCTTAGATTGAAGCACTGAAGGGAGCGCAGCTCCGTGCTGTCCTGCAAGTCATCCAAGCAGAAGCATAGTCGGGCCTCAATTTTGCTTGCACTCCGTTAGTCCTGCACCATGTCGTCCCGTGCCAGTGGGCGAGTTTCACGGACTGCACCAAAACCTGGGATTATGCAGGCGGAAGAAGTCCATGAATTCAAGTATGACTGGAGGAGGAGTCTTGCGATGTTCTGACCGCACACGTGAGCCCTTTGCGTCTAAATCCTGAGCCTCAGATGTCTCGAAACAAGCCCCTGGCTCCCGATGTCTGGATCCAGTTTCCGTTTTCCGGGTGCCCAAGACAAAAACAAGCCTTTTAACACTTCATTCACGAGGGAGGCCGTAGAACCATTCGCATACAAGCCTAAGAATCAGTCCTTACATCTTTGCAGCAAAGAACCGTCGGTGATGGTGAGAGTTGTATCTGGCACACGCAGCACATCTGACTTGTCGGGGTCCACCATGCTCAATGGACCTTATTCTGCAGGAGACTTAGATTTGGGGTGGGATGAGTCTCGTACGGGATGGGCTGGCAGCAGAAGCTGTTCCTTCAGCAGCCGAATTCAATGGGCAACACCAAGGAACAGGATGAGGGAACACGTGTCTCTCCACCAAAATTATTTTCAGCATACGGGGCAAGCATTTTAAAGGTGTTTCTTGATGGAAAACACGTCATGCAGCCGAGCCAAGCAGCAGTTGTGGGGGCCAAATCGACGGGAGCGCTGCAAGAACTGTTTCTTGGTTGGGTCAATGGGCTTTGCTGAAGCATTGCCAATCCATTCCTTGGTGTGCGTGCATCAACCTTTCGAGGCGCTGTCACAGACAGGTAACTATGGCAAAGTTTCCAGATTGGGCTGTTGCGTCGTAGTGCGCAATGCTTCGAACCACCGGCCATTGATATCAACGACGCGGCTCGGCATGGAAGTCTCAGCAGTCTGCGGGCTGGTCACGCATGAAAGTTTGACCACAAGCTGCAGCCAAGAAACAAGCATCTTGATAGGCAGGTACACCACCTGCAGACTGCATGGCCCACCAGCATTCAAGGCTCGACGTATGCTGAGCGCACCTGCTGGTCAACCTTGCCCACCGTCACGCCCGTGTAGCCAGCCATGGCCGCATGCACTGCAGCCTGCGCGAGCTCGGAGCAGTAGATGCCTTGGCTTGTAAACGGATAGATACGCGCACGGCCCACTTCTCCAAGCCTTTTCTTCTAGAGATGCCGGCTCAATTCAGCTCGCTGCGTGTAAAATTGAAAAACACGACAGAATGCATCTTCGTCTTAGATCTTTCTGTCCGTTGCCGCTTGCAAAATGGCATTTTGTTCGTCAGACACGATGTAGTTGTTGCCTATCAGCACCTTATATATTAATACGCTAGTCACTAGTGTTGTGAAGCCATTGCTGTGTGGGGCGGCCTGCTCTACGAGCTCCAACTATGCAGGAACACTATCAGGTTGATTGCTGATCTCTCACATTGGGTCTGTTGATGGACAAAAATAGAAACAAGCCAACAAGTTTCCCTCGCCTTTGTTCTGACAATTTGCTAAAGGGGATGATATCTCTACCTGCGATTTCAGAGGCCCTCTCTTCTCCTATCCTTCCTCTGAATAAAGTTGCAAACGTAGTCCACATCACGCGGTATGCCGAGCAGCTGTCATTGGGATTTGCGGGTACAGCACGAACCTGACGCAGGTGCACAGACGTCCTTCTCCATGCAGCTAGTTCAGAGTTCAGTCAAGCAAATTCAAAGCTTGAGATGCAAGGATGACAGCTGAAATGAAGAAGAGAGTGAGAGTGTCACCATGTAAGTCGGATCCACGTACTTGATCGTGATTGGCAGCCTTGGCTGCAACATCCTTTCATACATCAGCAAAGAACCAGATTGAGATTGTAGCAGCACCACATTTCGAGGTTGAGTAGCTTCAAGTTCTTGAAGTGCGAAGTGATGGCATCCTGACAACATGTCGCAGGGATGACGCCCCACACGAGGCTAAATCTTCCTGCTCAGGGCTCTGGGACCCGTCCGTCCTTGAGCCATGGCCCAACATCATTGATCTTCTTATTGCCGCCTTCATCGGTGGCTCCTTTTGTAAGTCTTGCAGTGTAGCAGTGCTGATTTGGCTTGACTGCTTTCACCCATGGTCTCCTGAGCTTGACAGCAGCGTGTCGCCACAGCCTTCTGCAACCACGACCACCTGAGGGCAAAGGGCTACCCGCGGAATCGGGCTTCCTGTCGACACGGAGGCACTTACGAGGGCCACTTAAGCATTACGATCCTGGATGAAAGCCCCCACATGTGGTTCCATTGCGCTGCCCCAATCCCTGTGACACTTTTCCCTGGCGCCAATCAAACAGCCAATTTGCCAGCAAGTGACCGCATAGCCGCTGGTGCTCACAAGTTCGACACAGTGATCGAGCACCTGCTACTTCTACACGCATCTCATGTTCTTCTTTCTCCTAATGTGTTTGTTACTTTTACTGTTGTTCTTCTTTTTCCATGACTGTGCTCCACCCTGCGGGGATGATGATGGTTAATGACTTACGCGAGACAGGAGTGTCACATTGCATGACAATCCTCCACAGATCATGCACCGACCTTCTCCAGGTTGATGTCCATCTCTGGAAGCAGGCAGATGTCAACATGGCGTGCTGCCAACACTGACATCATTGTCAGATAGCCACAATGCCTTGCCGGGATATCATGACAGAGCGCATTCACCGCTGAGCTGACCCACTTCCCAGCCCAGGCGTTCAAGTTGCAATCCACATGCAATCAGAGGCAGGGTCCAAAGCCGGCACGGCATCTGGACCACTCGAACAAAGCAAAGAGAGAGGGCAGAGAAAGAGATCTAGACAGCAAGAAACCATTGGCACGAGCTCCTCCCCATCAGCTTCACGAGGCCAATGGCGTTGGCATTACACGTTGCTTCAACGTAGGCGACTTCGATGGCTTTCTGGGCTTCCGTCCTGAACAGGAGACCGGGAACACCCATACCACTTGTGTCATGTCTGCCGGTTACCAGCATGACCAACTTGCAGGGAAGAGTCATAGCAGTGTCAAAGCCGAAACTGCGGTCCTCAAGAGCTTTCCCAGTTGATCTGGCGCACAAGACAATCGCTCAACACGGCAGAAGCACATCGGTCAGTCCAGAAGATTGATATCGTTGTCTATGGTCTTTGGAATGCCGACCACTGCACACTCCCAGCCTGAACAGGGGTGCATGCGAACGAGATCAAATAACGTCAAACTCTTCCCATGGTGGCCCTGTGGTTCAAGACAGGCTTCTGGCAAGTCCAGGCTCCAGACCAATAGCTTGCATTTGCTCGTAAGTCTGATAGGCACCTGATCAGAAAGTACGGGACCCTGGCTGAGCAAGGCATGGGGTGTAAAACATTTGTGAGGCTAAAGCCTTTCTGCGTTCCGTCTCCACCCAGGACGAAGTGCTGTCGCACCCCACGCTTCTTCAATGCTTTGGCCTCAGTTAATATCAGCCACTTGATATGAGGTCATGCGAACTCTAACACCTTTTCTAGCGTTCTCTCTGTCTGTCCCTTCTCCTCAGAGCTCTGTACTATCACGAAGAGGTATCGAGGCCTTGCCCCCGGCTCGATGGCTCGCGCCAAGCCCCAACCAGCGGGGTCCCAGGCCCAAACCGAGACCAACAGCTATGCCGCCCTGCACTTTGGTGCCTTACACTTGCTCACTCTCTCCCTGCTTGAGAGCTTTTGCTTTACTTAGAGGGGCAGCTGGCCCAATGGCTCGCGCGACAATCGCAGTGGAGAGCTCTATCTCTCGCTCTTCTTCTTCGGGAATAGGGACCCTAGAGCTCCCAGGAGGCAATGCCTCCGATCCCGATGTCTGATGGTCCGCGCATTTTGTGACTGAGGGTCAAAGAAGCTCGGATGCCTGGCACTTCCCTCTCTCGTTGCTCTTCTTCTTCAGGTTCTAGCGGAACCGAGGATCCCCCCAGGGCATCACCCTAAGCATCCACACGCCCGGTTCGTCAGTGGTCTGTACCCAGCAGGCTCGAAGCACACACAAGAGGACACCAAACTTGGCACATCTTTGCACATCGAAAATACTTTGACGCTTGACCACCCGAGCTACCTACCTCAGCATAGTTCCCTGCCGTCCTTCTCGACCGGACTGTAAGACTTAGAGACTCGCTTGCTCCGACAAGGTGACAGTGGCTTGCCGACTCTATGCACATGAGGCCGGTCTCTCTCTCTCTCTCTCCCCCTATACTTTGTGTTCTTATTACGTAGCCTCCAGGCCCCCTGAAAGGTATTACACGGAAGCAGCACACAAGAGCCCACAAGAGACCATGTTGGTGTCACCGGAGCCCCGGATGCTGGCTGCCACCAGGATCTTTCTCTCCTTTTCCTCCACGCCCAACAACCCCCACGTCCAGGTGCCTCTCCGATGAAACAGAACTAGCACATTAAGAGGATTCAGGAGCTTCTCATCACTTCAAGGAATGCATCTGAATCTGAGGGGCACTACGGGTATGGGCCCTTCCAAAAAAGTCATGTCCGCGTTCAGAGCTGTGCCGCCCGGGAACTGCCTTCGAGACGTGTGGCAGTTCAAAAATTTATGGTAAGAATGGGTTGCGTGTATTCGGCTTCCAAAGTAGCGGCACATAGAAATAGGATAATGTGCCCATAAGCCCATAAGGCCCATGTGAAAGTGCCCAACATCTCATTCATGTCTCCATGATTTCACAGAGTTCCTATCCAGAGCGTTTGTAGCTCGATCAATTCTTGCCGTCAGAAGATTTTCACAGCGGTCTCATATTTACGGGGCTCGCTTCACTCCAAATGTCTGACATGTGTGCTTGACAGTGCGTCACAGTTGGGCCACAGCGAGTTTCGCTTTGCCTTGTGGGGTTTGGGAATTTCCCCAGGGTGCCCCCAAAACGTTGTCTTGGCTTATTGCGCTAAACCAGGAAGGAGAGGAAAAGGGAATCAAAGAACATGGGACGTTGCACGCGAGAGCGCGATTGTTAGCTGAAAGGCGAGGATGCTCCATACCCGAGCACAACTTTCAGCCCAAACGCAAAGATTCCCCACGCGAGATCATGATTCTTGCTGGAATGCGAGGATGCTCCATGTGAGAGCGCGAGTTCAAGCCAAGATGCGAGGATGCTCCACGCGAGGCACTATTCGAGAGCACGATTTTTAGCCAAAATGCGAGCACACTCTGCGCGACACCAAACTAAGATGCACATTCTGATCCACAACACCTCAGATCAGATGCGATGCTGCTCAAATGTGAAGCGACCACAGGAGAGCGCATGTCGAACCAGGAAGAAGCATCAAAGCGATGACAGCTCTGCATTTCGCGACAAAGTGGTGAGGCTGCGGCATTGCCAGCCCCGCGAACTCTCTAGAGATTGAAGAAAGCAAGCACTTTTGCAGGCAACCTTTGCCAACATGGCTGTGGGGCGACATTCCCCTATGTGCTAACATAAGGTTCAGATGTTGTGAGAGCAAGACGTGCCCAAAGAATGGGATAGCGGCTAGCGTCCACATACCAGAGCACTGCCAGCGATAACAGCGTGAGGGTGGGGAGGCACGCCCAACCATTGACAAACATAATGATGAAATGTCATGCTGCTTGGACCAACCTCCTGCTTCAAAGAAGTCATGCCCTTCTTCCAGGTCGGAATAGGGACCGGCTTTGACGTTGCTCAGCTTCTTGCTTCGCTCCGAACTGTCCGGAGCATAGCGAGACGTTCGGACTCTTGACTTCAAGGGCTCCGATGAAGCCCTGCAATTCCCGCTTGGTTCCCAGCGGTCCTCAACAGCTTGGCAATGCATTTTTGATGTCCACCCATGCTTTGCCAATTTGCTCCGCCTCTTGTGGCCTTGTGGCCTTGTGGCCCTGGAACTATGTATATCGTATTCCCCGTCGCTACCGTGTTACCATCCAGCCACGCTGTCCTGGTATTTCGACTTCGAGGCACCTCTTCTTCAAGCTTTGCGGTGCCGGCCGCACTGAGGCAAAGCCTCGAGCCCCTTGGCGCGTCCGGTCGGTCCAAAAGAGGATCGAACTGCCGACCAAACCCGATCCATGCAACTTCCACAACTAACCCACTTCCCTTACGCTCTGCTGCTTCTCACAGACTTGCCCTCTTTCTTGGGAGATTCTTGTTCTTTTCCAGGCCGCATGCATCCCCACAGGGGGAGCATCAGGGCTCCACCCGTGGCCCCTTCCCCATGTGGCAATACAACAGAGTCAGCAAACAGCTCTTTGAAGGACCTGAGTGTTGGTGCCGACGCCTCCATCTTCACTCTTCCTCTCGCTCGCCCAGTCTTTCTTCTAGTTCTCTTGCTGGCTTAGGAATGAAGGACGAGTCCTGCAAGAAGCGTGCACCCAGTCGACAGCTTCAAGCCGCTACTTTCGCGGAAAAAACGTCAAAGTGTCAGCAGGAACTACTAAAAAAATGACGAACAACTGGCTGGTAGCTAACATCTTTTGCGGACTATGTGCCCCCGTTGATTGAGGCACCGGATATTATGTTTTCTGTAGGCTTTGGGTTGGGGATGGGGATTGTCCTCCCAGTGTGATTCTCGGTTGGTTCCTGAAATAAATGAACGGGTGGAGGAAAAGCTACTTTAGCACCTCTTTCTGACCACCAAGAGGCCCCTGCAAGTATGCAACACACAGCTCGCAAGATTACGCTACACAACTGATGGAGTGAAATGATGAGTGGTGATTGTTTACGCTGCTTCATGAGTTACATGACTCGCACATGGAGAACACAATAGCGCTCGGAACAATTTGAGGTAGAAGGAGACTGTTTGCAAAGGTGTTTCGTCCCTAAACTCCCTGGTCGCAGATGGTATGGAAAGGGTTCCCTGGGTGCCTTTTATTGGCCGCCACATGAGCCAGCGGCAACGCAACTTTGCATGTCATTGGGCCATGAAAGTTGCCTGGTCTGCAAAAGTGCTGTCGGGTGTAACTGTGCTAGTTGAGCGCAGCTGTTCTCTCTTCTTCTTCTCGCAGATCTACCCCCTGCCCCCCCAACGGGGCCCTGCCGCAATGCAGCAAGCTGGGGAACATTTGTTCTGCTTCTACAGGCCACGCACACCCATCACAAGGATAACACCCCGTGGCCCACCAGCGCGGCCCAGTTCGGTTATCTCCGCGAGGCCCTGGGTAGTGAAATTCTCTCCCCCAAGCCCATAGGAGTCAGAACTTCCCAGTCACCTAGATTCAGTATCCCATCCAGCTCAGGGTAGAGGGAGTTACTCTCCCCCTTCTCTAGCGGTTGGCGAAACTTACCACTCAGCGATTTTGCCTTTCACCATTTCCGTTGGAGGCATTGGAAGTTGTGTGCACACTTTAAGGAAACATTGCTTTCTTCTTCTTCCTCTACAGGCCACGCCGACTCTTTCAGGGAGCAGGCAGGGGCTTGTGCGCAATAACTCTCGCACCGACTGGTTCGGAAGCAGAATACATGCTCAGCATGCAGTCTTTCATCTTGGCATCGCTCCATTTCACTGTGCGGTGGATTCCCGCGATCGCTGACCAGGATAGAGCCGCCTTGGCGAAGTTGCGTAGCAAATACATGCACCTGCCTCCAACAATCTGCAAGGTTGCTGAGGAATGGTCCCTGCAAATGTATATCCTTCACATTCTCCGGGGTCAAGGTCACCCAGCTCTGTGGGTTTACCACGCCTGTGGCAAGGACGCACAAATTCACAGCAGCTATGTTCGACATGGAAAGCTTGCCGCATAGAAAACATGCACAACTTCAGTGCAGCAAGTGCAGGAGCTCTATGGAACAGCTGCCTCAGCCTGGCACCCCCTTGCAAAACATTTGAAAGGCCTTTGAAGCCACCCTTGATGCCGTAGACCTTCTTCACACCGTATGCATAAAGCATCATGACCTTGCTGCAGTTGTCGTGGGAAGTTGATCAGCTTTCAATCGCTGGCCGCTGCTAAGTGCATTGAGTCCAGCACCAGCTCGCGGATGACGGAATTCAAGCCCGGGCATAAGCCACCGCCTCAAAGTCACGTATGGCAAGTGCGCAGGCTCCCTGGGTTTTGCATGCACACTGCCGAGGACGCAGCATGTCACAATGGTGGCTGCCACCTCAGCAGGCCTCGGCCAAACAACCAACCCTTGCTACCCTTGCCTGTCCTGGCTTTGGAATCGGGACACACGTCCTTCACAGTATGGCTGGGGCTTGAAGTACAACTTTGTTCGAGGCCCAGCCTTAGAGCATAAAAACAACATTGATAATGCACACTACTTATCACTACTTTGCAAAATCTCTTCAGTGCCTTCAACATCTGGAGGCGAACACCAGGCAAGCCAAGCGTCTGGGTGACCTCAGCCGGAATGCGCGCACTACCCGGCAGACAAGCGTCACTGCTCAGCACGGGGCCCATGAGACTTGATCAAAGAAGCAAACCTTGCCTCCCTTGACCTCCAGGCTCATGTGCTCGGCAAAGGGAAGAGTCAAGGACTTTAGGCGTAGCAAGCCGTGGCGACATAGCCCCAAATTAAACATTTCGGTGTACCCGCCTGTTCCATCAATGTTGTTGGTTCTGAGCGGTCACCAAATTTCAGCGACAAGTGTTCGAGCTCCAAGCGCCGAACCTGACAACAGCGAGACCCAGTGCACCCTGTTCGGTCGTCTGCACCAGAACCCTTGGACAGCAAAGGTGTGCAATGCACTACTGCGACGTGGCTACATTAGCAGCCTGAACGAGACAGGAAACTCCAAGCAACCTGCTTGAGGCATGTGCCCCTGCCTGGGAGACTTAGAACCTCGAAGCATTCCAAGCCCAAGCCCCAAAATCCGGCCTCAGATCCTTCGCCTATGGCACCAACGATCTCAACAGGCTCCGAGTTGTGCAGCAGGGGATTCTCCACCTCTGTTACACTGACAGCATTTCCACAAGCGGCCACAAACAGACTCAGCATGCCTGATCTGTGTTTCAGACCATTGCCCGAGCCCATGGCAGGTGCTGCTGCCTCCATCACCTCTTCTTCAGCACCCTCTGGTGCCAGGTTGGGTTGCAACGTGGAGCTGACCAGCTCCTGCGGTGTGATGCTCATTGGTCAGAGGACAGTTCACTTACTGGCAGCCAACTCACATGCTCGAGAGATGGTCAGATGGCGGTGCCTTGTGTGTTTGTCTCAGCTAATCATCTCTCTGAGTTTAAGCCTATCGATCGCTTATGAGGCACTGTGATACAAACTGGACAGGCTCTGGGAAGAGCTGCTGGGTTGCAAACGCCCAACGAAAGAGCGGACGCAGGCTTCGAAATGGCTGTGCCGGCAATGCACACTGTCCCTGCTGTCAGTAATCCCAGCAACTGCGGCAAAAAAACAGCATGCAAAGCACCCAGCTCCTGGAACCTGCCCACAAGCAGGAAACAAACAGAATGTCAGCAAGCAGCACGAAGTAGCAGGAAACTCTCGGCTCGTGCCTCTGACCTTTGAGATCAACTTTCTTCCTAAGCTGCAGCTAGTACGGTCTATCAGGCCACATTGCACGAGTGCACCAAAAAGTTGGCTTCAGGATGTCTTGAATGATTCAAGTTAAGAGGACCAAGGTGTTCACAGCATATTCCTGCTTTGTCGAAAACATGGTCTTTGATAGAACAGGACATATGACAAAATGTAAATAGCTCGAGCCAGAAATCCCACATCCAACCCTGCAAGGAGGTTACAGGGATTGACACATCCAAAACCGCATGCGTTTGCTCGCGTGTTCTAAAGTTGCCCAGACGTAGCAAAGGGAAAACTTGCAGCCTCTGCGATTTGGCGATTCATAGAGTGGCCAGCTGTCTGGCTGCAGCAAGGAGATGTTTCAGCTGAGATACTGTGGGTTCTTTGTGACGCATGCAATGGGTAGCAGCACTTGTCGACTGCTGATCTGGCCTAGCAGGGCCAGAGACTTAAAGCGCAAGAAGTTTTCAGAAGGGTTCAGAAGCTAAGCAGCCGGCCAACAGTAATTCCTGTATATCCTGCCATCGCTGCGTGCACTGCGTTGTGGCTCAGCGAGGAACAGTACACACCTAAGCTGGCTGGAACCAGGCATATGCAAGATGAGGGGTTTTTGGGGGGAATGGACAGAAGCAAGGGAGAGACAGGGGGTGGGGGGGGCACAGTTTGGATGATTCAGCTGTGAGGAGGGGATGGTGGGAAAGGAGACTGGGAGGGGGAGAGATGGGAGAGGGGAAGGGGGAAGAGTCATTTCATAGAAATCCGAGAGGGCGGGCCTGGCTTGCTAGCTGTCAGAGTCTCAACTTGGTAGCCAAGACGACTGCTGCGAAGCCAAGTAACTGTCGTTTGCGTTGGGCCCGATTGCGCGAATCATGTAAGTGGGGTCAATGTATTTGACCTCATCAGACGCAGCTAGGACTAGTCCCTGTCGTGTTCATCTCAAGTGGTTCAAGGCAAGGAGCTGTGAGAGGCAGCTTAACCTGGCAAGTCAACAGCTGCTAACGGCGAAAGCGCCAAAGACGCACCGTGAACGTCACGAACGTGGTTTTCTCAGCGTCCTTGCCTGCTTGAAGCGCTCGAGCAGCTTATCACGAAGCCAAGGTCCCACGTCAGCAAGCTTCTTGTTGCCCCCACCTCAAACTCTAGCATACACACAATCCGAATTCAAGCTGTAAAGATCCTGCACATGTACATACATGCCCCGCCCGCATCACACCTTTTTTGGATTGGGTCTTTCGGAAAGCTGCCCGCGAAAGGTCATCAAGGGGCCTGAGCATGGTGGTAGCCTTCTGCAGATCAGCTGGCAACTGGACCTCTGCAACAAGATCCCCATCGCCAATGTCCAGGGAGAGATGGATTGAGTGCAAGAACATGCGAGGACACCAGTCATAATAGCTGCCTCCATACGAGACGTCGCCAACAAGTGCATGGCCCCTTTCCGATAGATGGGCTCGGATTTGATGCTGCCGTCCTGTGAGCAGCTGTACCCTTACCAAACTGGCAAAGGTGTCTTCTGGAGTCATTGCGTGCATGGACTCAACCACAAGTGTCGAGCTTGCCTTGCCCTCCGCTGGACTGGCGGCCACAGACCGGCGAGAGTCTGAGCTTTTTGATGCTTGGGACAATGCTGTGTTGATAACGTGCGGCATACGCTCGAGGAGTCCCTGGCACAAGCAGACGTACTCCTTTTGGAGGTTTTCGCGTTTGGCAAATTGGAGCCGCGCCGCATAGTATCCACTGTAGCAACTTGCCCAAAGCAGAGCTCCAGATGTCATCTTATCGAGCCTGTGAACGAGCCCTCGTGACACAGCAGTGTCTAATGCAATGGGATTGGTCTTGCCGAATTTATTCATCAGCCATGTGCCTACATCCCGCTCTCCTTGATCTGGCTGATCCGTACACCTTTCTGCTTCTGCCGCCTGGGCATCCGCAGATGTGAGTCCGACGAAGTCATCCCGACCAACCTTTACTGACCAGCCGGGCGGCTTCCAGAGTACCGAAGCGCGCGGCTGGCTCACGAGAACTTCCGGTTCTTCAGGAAGCTCATTTCCAATGGTGCTCTTTCGCCTAGTCTGCATCAACACGGTGATTCCGGCATCTTGTGCGGCCGCTCGCCGTTCAAGCACCCGGTCAATGATCTGGTGAAGGTATATGGAGGAGGGCCGTTCCAACATTTGGGACATACCACAAGAAGCGACCAGCATCTCCATATCTACGAACAAGACTTCATGCTGCAGCTCTTCACTTTCTAGCTTGCCTGCTGAAGAAAACGCTGCAGCATCCCATGGCGCTTCCCGCAGAATCTCCGAGACAGCATGCGCCCGCGAGATGTTGGCAAGCTCTCGTAATTTGAGCTGCGTGGCTTCCCTGGTGCTCCAGCTTGTCATCGCCGCAAGAATCGGCGCATCTCTGAACAGAGTCGAGCTGAGTGCTCAAGACATGTTCGCCGCGTCCTATGGGACAGTCTCGTGCATTCTAGTGAGAGCGAAGGAAGCTGTTGATCACATCGGCAACATATCAGCAAGCACAGCCGTACTGGAACACCTGGGTGGTGGGTCAAGACAAGAATGAGCACAGGCGAGCACAAACACATGAAATCCTCAGTGGGTAATAAATATTACTGACATTACTTGAATTTACGCTAAATGCAGGCCGGTCACCAACACATGCTAGCCATGGCCCGGAAACTCAAGTTTGGCAGAAGTGCCCAGCACTGTGCGGCAGAACCAGCCGACCACTCCCGGCCTTCTGCTCGCAGCTTTGTAAATGCCCAGGACAAGCTGCATAGCTCCTGTGGCTTTGAACTACCCACAGCAGTCTTCGCAGCAGCAGCTGCTGAATGCAACAATCGGCTGTCGGAGTAGGAAAGCTGGGTAGTGCCCTGAGCAGCATTGGCCAGGCATTGCGAATCCATGCGAGCAGCATGGGAGACCACATGTGGCGCAGTCCCGTCGCAGAACGAGCGGTTGCCAGGCTCGGGCATGGCCGTTGCTTACAAGGTGTTGGTCGGCTCCAGGGGCTAAAGCGCCCCTCCTTATCGGATGGTTTCAGAGGCCGGCATCGCAGCCGGCGGCCTGTGGTTCGCTTGTAGCTTGGCAAAGCTCCAAGCCAGGTTGGAAATGCTTTGTGGAATCTCCAAAGCTGAACCTGCTAGCTACAAGGCCTGCTGGCCAGCCGAGTTCGAGGTCACTCTGCTCAACTGCCTCGGCGTACTCAATTCTCAAGCCATGTTGCTGGGACCTCGCATGTTGAGTTCCTGGATCAGGGATCAGCTGCACACAGCAACCCCGTTGGTTGCCGCCTCGTTGTAAGCTTGTGTTTTCCCGGAGGACCACACCAAACCAGCCAAATCCTGTGCCGAGCAGGACTTGTGAAACAGCTGTTGTCTTCCTGCATCAGCAGATGCAACCCACAGCAGAACATGTCAAAGGCGAGGGGTGCCAAATGATCGGCCAGTGTACGAGAGCTTCTGCGCGGGAAGTTCTGGCAGCCGGCCCAGAATTGAAGCCCACAGAGCATCTGACAAAAGCATCTCTGTCACTTTCAATTTAGCAAGCGGCTGCGCGGTGTGTGCAAGGACTTGCGGTGTGGCTTGCCTGCGGCCCTTACATGCCGCCTGCCATGCCGCCAAAGCTTCTGCTAGCTTGGACGTCCCACTGGCTACTGACCGTTTGAAGCGGCCCGCGCAGCCCACAAACGCGCACAGCGAAGCCCTCTACCAAAGTCACACTTCAGGCCAATTGCTGGTTACACTGACCTGCCGGAAGTGGTGGGAAGAAGGCAGGCCCAGCCCATGGCTAGTGGGCACAGCTCCAGGCAACATTCAAACGGCGGCTGGCTCGAGAGCTGCAAACCTACATGTTGAGACTGTCATCACCTCGAGCCTCAACCTGTAAAGAGGGCTTGGTCATGCCTAAAGCTTTTGGATGTGCTGGGGTCGCCACCGTCAACTTCGCCGGAGCTTTTGAGCAGCGTGTCCCCACAGCCCTCCGCCACCACAACTACGCTGTGACCTTTGGACCTCAGCACAAGCCAGTAAGCACCAGCAAAGACGGGCTGCTTGAAAACTTGATGCTGTCGCAGCCACTGCATCAACTCCAGGCAGTGTCGCAACACCTTCTCCAAGCCTCAGCTGCCGGACGCTGCAAGAGTACAAGGCTTAAGTCTTTGCCTCTAAAGCCTTCACAGTCTTCACATCTTTGCTCAGGAGCCTGGCTCTCCCTGTGCCGTCCAAGCTGCTAATTTGCATCTCTGGGAGAAGCACAATGTCGGCATGGCGCGCGGCCAAACAGGCATGCAAAGCAATGAAGCCAGAATGTCGGCCCATCCTGGGAGGTTAAAGCTTACAAATCCTGCGGAAACAGCATCTTGGTCTGCCATGTCCGCAGGGGAGCGCCGAAAAAGCAGCCCACAAAGAGACACAAAACGATTCACGAAACGTCTGCATCCAGGCTGCAGCTTCACGAGGCCAATGCAGTTGGCGTTGCAGGTGGCTTCCACATACCCAGCTTTGATGGCCCGTTCGGCTTCCATACAGGCGGTGTCAAAACCTGAGCTGGCAAACGTAGCCACATGTTGAGGCTGCGATGGGCGGCTGACGCTTCAACTGTCTAGGCAACTGTGGAGGAGTACAAAAATGAATGTCCTTTTTGCTAGCACAGCACCGAACGTGCAGTCAAGCATAGGGATGTCGTTGTCGATGGTTTTGGGGATTCCAACAACCTGAAAGCAAGGAAGGGACGTGGGCACGTAATATCACGAGCCCATCGGCACAATGCTTTTGAAGTTTGGGCCATCAAGTGGGACAGGCGCCAAGTAGCTGAACAGTTCCAGCCTTTGGCTTTCATCAACTCAGCACAATCCTCAGCAGAGGGCTGACATGTTTCACAGCTGAGCCAAGCAGCACACACCTATACACACCTGCACAATTATCTTGTTGTAGGCAATACAGGTACAGTACGTTCGCTTCGAGGTCTCGGAAGTGCGGCAAGCTCTGAAGCAGGACGTCCCATTTCACGCGTGGGAATTGCTCCAAGTTCGCTTGAGCTCGGCAGAAGTTGCCATCTAAAATCGTTTGGGCGGCAATGTTAGTGTGACTTGTGGCACTTGTTGGCACAGCTGTTTCAAAAAATACCTGCAGACTTGCTCCAGGCCATGGATGAGTCTTTGTAACCATGTCCAAACTTTAAGCTGACTTTGCATCCTGAGCGTCGAAAGCCCCCCGGTGGGTCCCATCGCCTCCAATGATGAAATGAGCACCTTTGCAAAATCGTGGCCAAAAACTTCCGCACTAGCATCAACACATCACGTTCATCGTGCTGAGAACGGCACGGACTCCCATATCAATCAGAGTCTGCACCTGTTCCTGCCAACAAAGCACTTGGCGCAGTAGCGAGAAACGGCCAGATTCTACAAGATGCTGCAAAAGTTTGCTACTGTTACAGTATGTTTCTGTTCGTCTTAGAAGGAGAGAATGTCGTCAAATTGTTGCGAAAGCGTCGCAGCCTCCTCAGTGGGATTCCCCCGGTCGCTGACAAGGATTGTCCTAAGTTGCTTAGGCAGCAAAGGGGTGGCCATCTCTGTTGAGCGCCATACCCCCAAGAAGGAAGCAACGTGATGCAAGACCCCGACCCTCCCATGTTGTTGATGTCCTGTCCACGGTGAAAGGCTCTCTGTTCATGCACACAATACCGAAAATACCCTTTCGCTCTGCAGGCCTGCACATTATCTGGCGTCATCTCCATCCAGCTCTCCGGCTTCACAACCTGACGCATCGCTACAAAATGCATGGTCAATTCACAAGACCGATGACGTTGTCTTAGGCGGACACCCCCTTATATCCTCCACGGATCCCATAGATCTTGCGAACCTCAATTCAGCAGCTCAAGTAGGAGGCAATCCCGACAGCCATTGCCACTAGAGCGGGCCTAAGGACCTAGGCCTGGGCCTGGACCAACATTTTGCAGCACAACAAGAGCGGTACAGCTAGCACGATTGCAGCAATGGCGCCACCACTACGACAAACTGGCATCATGACCACCTCCCTGCAACATGACTGGCATTTCCAGCTCACCAGAAGAGACACGCAGCTCATCGAAAATGACCAAGACCCCAACAAAACTTACCACTGTTGCTTCCACCATGACAGATACCATCACAAGCAACGGGCGTCGCAACAGCATATTGTATAAGTGCAGTGTGCAAGCAGCAGCGAGGAGAAACGAATGCAGGCATTTGGTCCTAGAGCCATGCAGATCAGAATCGGTCAGCAGGTGGCGAAAGTGAACCGTATTTTGCGGGCTCATGATAAGAGAGACAACGCAGCACATGCTCCGACTCCCCAGCACGCAATTGTGCACAAGCCACCAGCCTCGAACTAGGGCGAGATTAGAGCCAGCACGAGTAAGAGGGGGAATCGATCCACCAACTCCATCCAACTCCAACATGTCCCGCACGCCATCAGATCCAGCAATTCTTCGTGTCTGTACCTGTTGTGTCTGCTTCTTTGGGACTTGCACGTAGGGCTGCGTCTGGCACTCAGCCGTGTATAAGATGCTTGCCGCCAATACCAGCTGCGCTGCATGTTCTCAAAAAGTGCATGCGAAACAGCAAACGAATGGCATTCCTGCTGACCGCCAAGTGGTCTTCACAAAGCTACACAGCTACAATTGCACTGTTCCGATTAATCATGCCATTGAAACGGCGAAGCTTTTGAGACACCCGTGTCAATTCATGAGCGAACCTTACTTGTCTTTCGTGTGTGTCACATGGGCAGAAAGCCTAAACTACTGGATCGCCGTGGGCCTGCAAACCCTTTGCTTGGTTCGTGCATGTTCTTGTTGGCACATCGCAGTCAAAGGCTTGCTTCCTGTGCAGGCCTGCCAGTATGCTTCTCAGAAGGATATTCCGTCGAAGGTTCACATCAAAGTAGCGCGGCAGCCCAATTTGCTGTCCAGCTTGTAATCTGGCAGTACAATTGGTAAGCAGCATTTCATAGCTTTTGTAGTTCTCTTTTGCAGCGACCCTGGTCGATGCATGCAGGAAATGCATGCAACACCTTTCACAGAGGAACACTTTGCGATGTGAGAACTGAAAGGCTGCCTCTGAATGCGTCAAGCGATAGAGAATCTTCCAAACATTCCCTGGCTCCATGATTGTGGAAAAACAGCAGCGAAGTCAACAGCCAACAGACCACAAAATCAGACATCAACAACACTTCAACAACACAAAGCACTGATGAGCAATGTCATTTAATTGAGACGGCGCGTTTACCGTCTCGAATCGCACACAGAGGTCATGGCACCATACTGTGCCAGCATCATCACCAACTCACGAATGACCTGGCCAGTGCAGTTCGAAACAAACACGCCTGATAATAAGCTTCTGCACAGCCAAAAATAGCTACGCTTTGAGGCTCCCGCTGCATTGAGACCAGGACATAAGCCCCCACATGTCACCAATGTTGCCACCACTTCCTCCCAGGCAATTGGCGCAGGCTGCGGACACAATCCTGCATTGTGCTCTTACCGCTGCTTGGCACAAGCTCCATCATGAACCTCACCCAGCCTCCGGATCGAAATGTAGCAACGACCTGCGTTTTGAATCGGGCGGAGTTGTTGTTTCTTCCCCCCAACGCCAGGGCAAAAAAAGGAAGAACAAAAGAACAAAAAAATGAACCAAAAATGCGCCCTCCCGTCGAGTCCGGCTTCATGCCAAACAGCGCCCATGAAGCACAACATCTCGGGTCGTGATAAACTTCTCGCATGTCCACACGCCCAAATGCAGCAAGTACACAACAAGCCACAGTATACAACAGTCACATGCCTTGGACCGGCCAGCGGCATTTGGTAAATGCAGTCAGAGCCTGGATCAGGCAAACATTGATTTTGGCCAAGTTGTTGCATGGAAGCATACTGGCAGCGCTGTGCAAGCACAAGAGGTCACTGGATACCTACCCATACTCATACCACTCCTGACCCGGCTATCATAGACGGAGGTCTTACACTTCACCGAAGAAAACAACATGTGCTGAGCCGGCAAACAGCACGGCTGGGGTCTGCACTGCTGAGCTGTATTGCCTGACAGCGGCTCTGACTGGCAACTGCGAAGCTGGCAAAGCACAATTTGGCACGAGCAGTTCATCGATTTTTGGCTGCTTTGCAAAACTGACGTGGGGTGCCAACCTGCGTGGCTCGCGCATCCTTCGGGATGAAATGTCCCACAATTTCGGTCCTTGGCTGCACCGAGGCGTCCTCGAAAAAAATCAAAACCTACTGTAGGTTAGCCAAGGCACAGTGGGGATGGAAGGCATTTCGATGTAAAAACCTGCCAAACCAAAACCAACACTGCCGGTCGACTCGGCTTTCACTTCTGTAAGCCCAACCTTGCTCAGGTCATCGATAACTAAACGTCTCAGCTCTGCTCCCGGGCACATGATGTCCTTGGCCTGCACAATTCTTTGAAGCCAGCTTTTCCAGCTACGTTCCACACAACACGTGCCTCAAGCTCGCGCAGTGTGAGAAGGTTTCCATCATAGTCTTCCACCACAAAGGCGGGATGGTCAAAGCTCTTCTTATGAGGCCTTGGAGGCTTGCACGCTTTGTCTCAGCTCCAAAACGCATCAAACTGAGCTACTCTTTGTCGCTGTCAGCTCAAAAATGAGTGGTTGACGGCAATCGCGCAGGTTTCCTGAGTTGACGCTTGGCGTGGTTCGGGGTGGCCTCAGGGCACCAAGTTCCCATAGCTCCAAACTTCAACTCATCTGACTGCCCTTCCCACCTGCACAGAGGGAGGGCGGGGCAGTTCTCTGACCTCCGGACAATACGGCATTACAAGCCAGCCACTGTGCAGGCAGACGTCTGGACAATCTGCCCAAGGTTTCAGCTCGTACGTTGGAGAGGTGGTGTGCCATGTAAGCCTCAACCGGGACAAGAAAAAAACTGGCCAGCATGCCCGTATCGCACAAGAGATTGTTTAGGACACTCGCACCAACTCCCACAGTACTAATCTTAAAGTGCTCTCTGCCAATGACTGCCGGTCGGAGCACGTAGGGATCGTCAGGCTTGTCAGCCAGGACGCCTTGCGACGAAGAGCATGGGACTGTTGTTCTTACCCTTCCGCGCGGGTGGGTTTGGAGCCTGAGCTGACCGAATCCACCCCCAAAAAATAAGTCGGGCACTGGTGATCAAGTTCTGGATGAAGTGCTGCAATTCGTGGCGCTCCAAGTAAGCCTGCAGGGTGACACAACACTAGTCATGAGTTGGGATATAATCTTGGCTCAAACTCTCAAGGTCCAGCACTGCCTCGGTCTCTGACAAGAGCTCCTCTCGCGGTGCAGCGGGCCTGACACTTCGAGCACTGTTCGCGTGCTAGCATGCTTCATACCGATGCCAATTTCCGTGTAGGACAGGTCCACAATGCTCCGCACATAAAGGCTTCGGCTGCGGTTTGTCAGGTCCAGCTTCTGACAGCCCTTGCACCAAGAGATCCAGACTCATCCTTAGCACAATGCCGAACCTTGAAGATTTCTTCAATGCAAAACAAAAGCAGGTTCGTGAGCAACCCGCTTTTTGTCGCTGTCTCCGAAGCTGACCGTGTAACGATCGCTCTTCGGTCGCAGAACCTGTCTGCTAGAGCGCGCAGCCTTGTCCCATTTGTCCCTGGTCCATCCACTCAGGCCCAAGCTAAACGGGAACTTCCCAGTGGCGCAAAAAGGTCCACTTTGAAGGGGCAGGCATCCAACAGGCTGGTCTGTGCGAAACGTACCTTGGAATGTGTCGCCGGCATGTAAGCTCTGAAAATCTCTGAAACTTGTGAGCAAGTCAAAAAGCAAGCCCAATTGTGCATGCAGGGAGGAATCTGGGTTGGTCACTGGCTTGTCAGTGGGAAGCGTGCCTTGCCGCCTGACGTTGCCAGCGCGGATGGACCTGCCATAGAAACATGTTTTGCAAGGAAATTTGGTCAGAAAGCAAGGCAGCCGCACAAAATACTTCCCTCTGGGATCCCTGAAGTGCTTTCCACCACGACCTGGCAAGAGAGGAAGACCCCACTGCACTACACGTAGAAGATGAAATGCACTTCCGAGGAAAGGTATGCAACTGGAACCCGCCTCCATCTCTAGATTGCAGCTAGGTGGTGCCGACCTGTCGGAGGTCGGAGATGATTAAAAGAGCTGTCACCTCTCCAGAGTCTTACAGGTGATCTCAGGCTCCGGCCCCAATTGGCAAACGGCCAATGTTGTCGTATCTACGTTCTACTATGTCTTGAAGAGCTGAGAGCAGAGCCGGCAACAAGAGGCCACGCATTTGCAAGTCCGGATGATCCTAGCTATGACTACTTCGTTCACTGTTATTTGGGGATTGTATGAAACTGTTTCAATCACTACATTGGGTATGGAGCGTGGGCAACGCATCGCCTCGCATCAAAACCTAGCTGCGAGGCTAGTTTCCGGAACCAGACATTTTCACAAAAAAACTACGTTGCTGTCCTCGGTTGCTTCATCATGGAGCCGGCAGCTTTGCCGACAATGCTTCCAAATGCCATCATGGAAAGCAATACCCAGCCACAAGGCAGTTGAAGTAGAGCACAACATACAACAGCAGAATGTAGCTGAAGGTCATGCCAAAGTTGTTGCCAGCATGGAATCCTGAAATTGCGTCTGCAATCTTGCGCATGCTTGGCAAAAACGGGGTACCGAGCAAGGAAATACCATGCATGCTGACGAGGAAGGTTGGAGTTCTCCAAAGGAAAGCTCCCAGAGCATAAGAGCCAAGAAGTCGCAACATTCGAACCGAAGGAACCAGAAGCAAACCCACAGCAGCGACCCACAGGTTCTGCATCGCAAGGCTTATGGGCATGCACACCACACGAGGGAACAAACTCCTGATTCAGGCATGGAATGCGATTGGCGCAGTACATCCAGAGCCCAGCAGCATCAAAGAGGAAGCTGCCAGGAAAATGCTGGCACTTGCCCGCATTGTTCCTCGCCCAACCGGTGCTGGGCAGCCCCAGCCTGTTTCCTAAGGCAGCAATGATCTGCAGCCAGCCCGGGATGCGCATGTTGTGGAAGATTACTAGAAGAACTTGGCCAGTGGGCACAAACTCCAAGAACCAGAATCCATTCGTGAACCACACATGTAAAGGCACGAACTCCATCCAAATGCCATCTGGTGTTGTTTTGCCTGGGGGCGGCAGAACACAAGCACGGCGGTTCTCACTCGCAGCCTACTTTCCGACATGCTTGCTGCTCTCCATTCAGCACGCGGGGAAACAAGGAGTACATGCCAAACACGTGTTGGTAGGTCCAGCGACATGGCTCAGAGGGAGCCAAAACAGCAAAAGCAACACAATGAAACAACTGAACACACTGCACGCACATCCTCCCTCAGACAGCCAGACCTGCTGGACAGCTCTCACACATTCCAAAACGACACACAAGGTCATGGAAGCTTTCCTGCTTCGCGTAGGGCCCAACCCATGGGCACGCAAAAAGTAATCTCATGCCAACCGTCTACCCCATATCTTTGCACATGTTTTGCTGGCTGGCGCGTTTCGAGCGCTGCCGAAATTTTGGAGTGTATGGCCGCCTATGCAGGCTTTTCGGGGCCCGGTCATGTGTGGAATCGAGGTGATCGTGGAATCAACTTTATCCTGCCAACCCGCCAGATGCAGCCCAAAGTGCACAAGCCGAAATTGCGCAGGGCATTCATGGAAACACGTCCCAAAGGGTGGATATGTGTTTTCCTGTTTTGTGATTTTTGGTGGGTTGGGGGCCAATGATTTAATAATTGAAGAGATCTGAACCAAAAAGGTGAAGAATGATGAACATAAGGAATGATGATGAAAATCATAGAAATGATGAAAATGGTGGAAACTTTATGAGAAACTGGTGAAAATGATGACAGTGATAGAGAATGATGGAAATGATAGAGAATGATGATAAAGGTTGAGGCTGAGCACTGAGACTGAGCCCTGGACTTTGGCCTCGGTGGCCGGCCTGGACTTTGGTCATGAAAGCCGTCGCAGGCACTCTGCACAGGGACCGCGCAAAACTTGGTGGCAAAAAGGTCCGTTGAAAAAAAAAAATGATAGAAAATAAGAAATGAAGAATATGATGAAAAACATGACAAATCATGAAAAATAATGAACCTTTCAACGGACCTTTTTAAAACACAGTTCCCGCGGTCCCAGTGGAGACAGCTCACGGGCGGAGTGAGCAACACGGAGGCGGCAAAAATCCACAAATCCACCGGCAAGGCCCATGCGGCCGGCGAGAGGAGCGACTTCAGACGAGTCTGCGAGGAGATCGCTGATGAGAGGCAGGTTGCCATCAACATTGCCAGTGCTGGCCAGGGAAAACCCAAGGAGGCGGGCGGCAAACGCACGTGCTGCTGTGATGGACAAGATGGCCGACCAGCCAAGTGCGAGGGCGGAGGTGCACGCTGCGCGACAATGGATGAAACATGCTGAAAAATCGGAAAAGGAGCCAAGGAGACTCAATATGATGAGACATGACGAAAGTATGATTCAAAATCATGCAATTGAAACATGGTAACCATATGAAATGATGAAAAAATTACTGGCGGAAACGGATGAAAGTGCTCGAGGATCAACCAACACGATATGATGAGAAAATTGGGAAAACGATCAGAAGTAATGACACATGATGAAAACATCTATAATGATGAAAAACGGCAAACATGGATTGAAAAAACCGGAGGTTGGACGAGTGCGCGCCCCCCCCTTTGCAAACAAAATGATCTGCATAACCTTCCTCACTGGTGACACGATGTCCGTTTGCTACGGCAAGCTTGTTAGCCTCAAAAAAAAGGGGGGTGGTTGGTGCGGCACAGGTCCCCCGTTTGCAAACAAAATGATCCGCGCACCTTCCCTCACTGCAAATCTGGTGATGTCATGACGGCTTTTGTATTGCAAGTACGAATGGCCCCACAAAAACGGAGGGGGGTGGAGGGCGCGCAGTTCCCCCCCATTTGTAATCAAAGCGCGCCGCATGCAGTGCGGTGCTCGGCATTTGGACCATGCCGCCATTGCCCAATGCTGACAGCGAGCTTCCGCTGGCGGAAGTTCTGCATCTCGCAGCTGACTCGGCGCCCAGCACGCTGCCGTTGTGTTAGAGCCTCGGAGCGCCTGCAGC